AAAGGGCCCCAGTCCCGCACCCGCACCCGGACACAGGGCCCCAGTCCCGCACCCGCACCCGCACCCGCTCCTGCTCCCGGGGCTGAGGCTGTGGGGCGGCGTGGGGACCCAGGCTGAGCCCTCCAAGCCCCGCCTCCCGAGTGGAGGAGCCCCCCGCCCCTCCAGCGGGGCTGCCTTTGGACCAGGAGGTCTTCACCACCCTGGGCAGGTGGGGCGGTGTGTGTGGGCGCCTCCCACCCCGCACCCGGCTTCTGGGTGCCCTGCCCCCTCCGGGCACCGTGAGCAGCGTGAACATGGTCTGCGCTACGTTGAAGCCGTGGCGCCAGTTGTGGTAGGTGACCCTCCGGTAGCCTTTGCTGACGGAGAACAGGAACCGCACCAGCACCTGTGGAGCCAGGAGACGGGGCAGAGCCGGCTCATTCACGGGGCTGCCAGGGGCTCCGTCCCATCGCCCAGCCCCAAGTGTGAGAAGAGGACCCCAGCAAGGGGGCTAGGGGAGTTTATATTTTGTTAATCCTCCCCAGAGGGTATTTAAAAAAATATTTTATTGATTTTTTTACAGAGAGGAAGGGAGAGGGAAGAGAGTTAGAAACATCGATGAGAGAGAAACATCAATCGGCTGCCTCCTGCACGCCCCCCACTGGGGATGTGCCCGCACTGGAATCCAACCTGGGACCTTTCAGTCCGCATCCACTGAGCCACACCAGCCAGGGCAGAGGGTATTTTTTCCATTGATTTTTAGAGAGAGTGGAAAGGAGGGAGGGAGGGACATCCTGTGAGAGAGACGTGTGGAGTGGTTGCCTCAGAATGCGCCTCAACCTGGGCCCGGAACGAACCTGCAACCCAGGTATGTGCCTTGCCGGGGAATGGAACCCGTGACCCTGGTCACACGGGCAGGGCAGGTACGGGGCGTCTCAGAAGAAAAGGCCTATTTGGGGCAAGCGGTGTGGGCACCTGGCGCTGGTGGCTGAGGGTCCTGAGGCTGGTGGGTGAGGTGGATGCTGGGGGGGGGGGGGGAGGGCAGTGATCTCCCCAGGGGAGCCTCTTATTGTTCTTCGATTTAAATAATTTTTTAATCCTCAGGATATTTTTCCATTGCTTCTTAGAGAGAGTGGAAGGGAGGGAAAGACGGAGAGAAACATCGATGTGAGAGAGACGCATCGATTGGTTGCCTCCTGCATGTGCTCTGACCAGGGTCCAGGCTGGGAGGTTCGTGTCCTTGACCGAAACCAAACCCGGAACACCTGAGTCCCCAGGCCAACGCGCTACCCACTGTGCAACACCAGCTAGGGCTGTTCTGTGATTTTAGGTCCAGAAAATTATCAGGAAATAATTTCTTCCGTCCATATTGTCTATAATGTTTTTCTTTTGTTTCAGTAGAACATTCCTGGAAATGCGGCCTGCTGCCCTGGTGTCGGCAAGAGGGAAGGTGTTTCCCTCGGTGGGAGCAGAGGCGCAGGGTGTGAAGGGAACCGCGGGGCAGCGCAGGGTGGAGGCGGCCCCACCCGAGTGGTTGGATGGTCGCCAGGGCCTGGTTCCAGCCGGGAGTGGCGGGTGCTTTCTGCACAGCTGTGGGCTGCTGTCTCCTCCCCCTCCCCCCAATGCCAGAGCCCACTATCACCCCACTGCACCTAAGGTCACACTGCCTGGAGTGCCTGTCAATCAGACTTTCCATCCGTCCAGCGGTCATCTCTCCCACCCCACGCTCTACCTGTGTTTTACCGCCTACACTGCCCGTTCTGTAATGAACAGGCCTGCCCCAAATTCAGTGCAGGACCTGGAACCTCTGGATCTGGGACCCCTGACCACACCCTCACCTCCTGGGGGATCTGGAACTTGCGGACCACGCCCAGCTCGTAGTACATCTGGATGCCACATTTGACCAGCTCCAGCTCCGTGCATTCCAGGTCGGAGAAGTGGAACTCGTAGATGTCGAACTTGGTGGGCCCAGGCAGCACCTCCTTCTGTGGGAGGGCCGTGGCTGAGGGAGGTAGGCCCACCACCCACTGCTCCTCGTCCCTCCTCCCAGGACCCTCTGTCCAGCCCCGGATGCCCCAGGTGACATCTGCTCTGCCAGTCGCTCTGGCCTGTGGCCTGGACGCGGGTCCCGATGGTTCAGCTCCCTTCCTCCCCTCTCCTCAGACCCTCAGCCCAATAACAGGAACTTGCCTAACTGGGCAGACACAGTGATGTTGCCAGGGAAACACACGCAGAGATACCTACGTGGGAAGGTGGTGGACAGCGGCCACCGCCACAGGGACACCCGTGAGCACCCTTAGTCCCCGGCCCCAGCCTCAGCCCCCAGCCTGCACCTCAGGGTGGGGGCAGATTCTGACCAGGATTTCCCACAGCTCCTCCTCCTCACAGTCAGCCGGCTCCTTCCCCAGGCGTGCTCGCGTTGGCTGGGAGAGAACCGATGCGCCGAGTCAGTGACAGCGTCAGCTACACCCTCGGGAGTGTGGGGCAGGCGACAGCACTCCCACACCCTTGTGACTGGGACAGAGGACCACGGTCACCACGGGAGGCCCGGGGGGGTGGGGTGCATCCTGCCTCAGAGATGAGAGTGCGAGGTGGCCCCTGCCTCCCCGGAGGATGGAGCCCTCACAGCAGCACGAAGGCGCCTCCCTCCCCGCTCACCGCAGGGGGACGGCCTGGGAGGGACCCACCCTGGGCTGGCAGGGCGAGTGGGCCTCCGGGACCGGCCTGCTCCTGGGTGTGCGTCCACGTGGATGGGGGGCAGTACCAGGATGAGCTGGATCTCGTCCTGGTCGCAGCGCACGTGGTACAGCACCATGTCCTGGGCGATGTCCTTGCGGTTCCCCAGCTTGTTCAGCCTGTCGTGGGTGTCGGTGTTCAGCACGGACCAGCCCAGGAACTGTGTGAGGGACTGCGGGGGGCACAGCGTCACCGCGAGGGGCCCTGCCGTCCAGGTGCCAGGGGCAGCACCTACGGGCGGCAGGGTGCCTGCCCAGCCCTGGCCCCGATGGGACCTCGCACGCTGCCTCCGTCCACTCGGGGCCGTGCGGGGTCGGGGGGAGCAGATGGCGTGTCCGGCTCCTTAGACGGTGCTTACCTCCATGAGCACTTCGTCCTGCTCGTCGAAAGGCTTCCCGTCCTTCCTGTTGTAAAAGGTGGCCACCCCCACGATCTCCTCCTTCTTGTTGACGATGGGCATGGACAGGACGTTCCTGACGGCCCAGCCGGAGTCGTCCAGGGGGCCTTCCTGAGGGACGGCCGGCGCACGTGACCTCAGCCTCCCGCCGAGGAGCCCTGGTCAGGGTCCCCAGGGAAGGCGAGGGGAGCAGACCCGAACCCCTGAACCCAGCGAACCCGGAGGCAGGTGAGCATGAGATACGGGTGCCCCGAAGGCACACACACTGAACAATTATAAAGTCAGAGTTTATTAAATTAGTGAGCTATCAGCTGTTAAAGTGTGTGTACATTTTGGGGGGCGGGGACACCCTGTATGTGTTTGCTGCTGTTTGACACTGCGATTTTGAGGTTGTTTCTGAAGCAGTAAAAGCCAATTCTGGCCCGGCCGGCGGGGTTCAGGGGTTGAGCATCGGCCTAGGAACCAGGAGGTCCTGGTTGGGTTCCCGGTCAGGGCACAGGCCTGGTTGTGGGCTCCACCCCCAGGGAGGGGTGTGCAGGAGGCAGCCGATCCATGATTCTCTCTCATCACTGATGTTTCTCTCTCTCTCCCTCTCCCCTCCTCTCTGAAATAAAATACAAATATAAAAAATGAAACTCCTGAGCGTCTTTTCTGAACCGTGATCCCTTCTTCCCAAGGGCAGTGCCTGTCCTGTGGGTAAACAGCTACCTGGAAGGCGAACATCTCGTCTGCAGGGGCGTTCATGATGTTACAGACCTGCAGGAAGCAGAGGGCAGTCTCAGCTGCACAGCCGAGGGAACACACGATGCCGAAAGCGACTGTCCAGCCGGAGCGTCTACAGAGGCCGAGCGGGGGCAGGGGCTGATGGGTACCCAGCGGGCGGTGGGAGGTGCCTGGCTGGCAGGGTGCCCGTGGGCTGCTGGCAGGGAGGCTGGGGCTGGAGGCAGGGCCTTGGGGACTCACAAAGCCACTTTCTGCCACGTAGGTTGGAAGGCCACTGGCCAGAGCCCAGTGGTCAGCTGGCGGTGTGCTGGGAAGAGAAGCAGAGGGTCAGATGGGCCAGACCCAGGGTTGTGCGGCGTCTGTGTGTGTGTGTGTGTGTGTGTGTGTGTGTGTTCCTGTTGGTTCCATTCTCTGAGCTCCGGGTGGGGCAGGGGTTGGGGGGAGGGAAGCTGGGGAGGCTGCAGGCAGTGGAGGGTGGGGTTGGGGGCATTTGTGCCGCCTCATCGCCTTCTCTGCCCACGATGAGGCCACTGGCCCCGTGGGAACCCCTTTGCCTCCTGTGGCCTCTGGAGCTGAGCGTTGGTCCGCTGTCCTGTGGCCGGGCCGGGATCTGAAGGTCCAGTCCCTGCGGGGGCCTGTGGGTGGGGCCCTGACCGGCCTGTGGGGCCCAGGGCCATGGCTGGGTGGCTGTAGGGCTGGGACGGGCCCTCCCTGAGCCCCACCGGCCATGCTGCCCCAGCAGACGTCCCCTGGGGTCCATCCCACTGGGTGTGCAGTGTCAACAGGACTAGAGGGCCTGCGAGCTCAGGCGCATGGCAGGGCCCCCTGGACGCTCCCTGGACCCCGGGATGGCCGCTGCGAGGTTCACCCCCCAGTCATTTTCTCCAGGTCAGCGAGCCAGCGCCTCCCACCACATGGGCGCCTGCAGCCCAGACCCGCTGGCACGGGATGACCTTGGCACTCACGGGATGACCTTGATGTCCTCCTTGCCGTGGAGGAGGTAGTCGATGACTTTGTAGAAGAGGATTTCCTGAGGGTCAGACCACAGCGGGCGGTCGTGAGGGGCTTGGGCCAGCACTCCCAGGCACCTCTGGGAGATGGGACGTCCGTCCCTGGCTCCCCAGGCCCCTCGCCCTCCCCGTCCTGGGCAGGGCTGGGACGGCCCCTTGCTGCCCTGGAGTTGGGGGGTGGGGAGCGGCTGGCCTGTCCCCACAACTCACTCGGCCGTCCGGGGTACGCGGGCCTGAGTACGGCTGGGTTTCTCCCATCAGGATGGGCCACACGTCGAAGAATTCCTGGCGGGGCCCCACTCCTGCGGCCTGACCCCGAGGCCTGGGAGCTTCCTGGGGGACGATGCCTCCCACTCCGGCCATGTCCCTGCCCCGCGCGGCCTGGTTGGCCTCACACCGGGTCTGTGATGAGTGACGGAAATTGTCATCAGTGGCCATGAGCTTGGAAGGCACAGCCTGGACCAGCCCGCCCTGGTCAGACGCTCGGGGCGGGGCTCTGAGGACACGAGCTCATGGTGTCCTGGGCCAGCAAGGTGAGGTGAGGGTCCCCAAGGCCCTCGGTCACCCGCCCCCTGGGCCTCACCTGATGGCCAGGCTCAGACTAACTCTGAGGGGAGCCCCTCCCCAGTTTCTCCGTCTCATCAGCCACAGCCCAAAGGGAGGGCACCTCCTGGCCCCAGCCTGTCACACCTGCTCTCCCCGCTCCCCCCCGCACCTGTCCTCGGGCCTGAGCACTGCCTGGGGCCGAGCCCCTCCTGCAAGATCATCCCCTGCATGGCTCCCCTGCTGCCAGCCCCCCGGGGCCCCGCAGCCCCCACTGTCACCGGCAGGTGCTGGCTCTCATGGCCCCGCCTGTGTCTTCCTGCCAGGAGCAGCCCGCTGCCCACGCAGACCAGGAGTTCCTGAGCGGTGGCCTGCGTCCTCTGTGTCCCCACTCCCTCCCCTGACCCGGCCCAGGGCCTTTGCACAAGCTGCGCCCTGGGCCTTCACAGCCACGTTCGCGGAGCCAGACCCCGACAGCGCCCCTTCCTTCCCGACCTCAGGAAGCAGTCTCGGGGTCTGGCCCCTCGATCACAGCTGTGAGGTCAGGAGGTCATGCAGAGCCCCAGTGCTTGCTGATGGCGCAGAGGGCGTGAAAGCCGCCAACCATCTGCACTGCGGGCGCTGTGCCAGCTGCCCCTGGAGTCTACATGTGAGTCACCCACACCTGCCACCCACCTGTGTCGCCCACACGAGTCAGCTGGTGGACGAGCACTTCCGTCCTGCTGCGAAAGGCCTGGGCACAGCCCCACACACTTGTGTGAAGACAATCACCCTCCCCCCCGCTCGTTCCCCAGGAGCATCGAGGGGAGACCCACCACTCCCACCCGGCCCTCCGTCTGTCACCCCGAGCCCCGATTAGACCAGGGACCTGTCACCGGGCGGCATCCTGCCAGGAGCAGGTTCTGTCACAGCCGGAGGAAATGGGCGCAGGGCTGGGTGTGTCTGCGGCGTTCTGACCCCAGCAGCCTGGCCCGCGAGGCCCCACCCGCCCTCGCCTCCTGTCGGTGTTTCTAAGTGGGAGCTGAGCCTCGCCAGGGACATTTAGGCAGCTGCCTCGTGTAGCCGGGAGGTCGGCGTTCAGAGCAAATAGCCCGGAAGGCCCGCTGCCCCAGCCAAGACCCGGCCCTGGGCGGAGCTGCTCTGACTCGGGGTGTCCTGGGACTTCACCCCAAGGCCTCACGCAGGGCCTGTGCTCTGTCCCTCTGCCCGAACCTCCTCCCTCCCCCCATCCTGCTGCGGGAGGGGGCGGGCAGGGCCCTGGGCTGTTTCCGCTCGATGGCTACGACTCATGTCCGGTGTGGGCCTGACCTCTCTGGAGAAGCTAGACTAGCTCAGACTCTTTTATTTTTTTAATCTTCAACCCGGAGTGAGGCTATTTTTTCATTGATCTTTAGAGACAGTGGAAGGGAGAGAGGAGGGGGGAGAGGAACATCAGTGGGACTGAGACACAGCGGCTGGTTGCCTCCTGCACATGCCCGGCTGACCGGGGCTGGGGATCGAACCGGCAGCCGAGGTGCGTGCCCTTGATGGGGAACAGAACCTGAGACCCTGTGGTCCCTGGGCAGACGCTCTGACCCTGAGCAAAACTGGCCAGGGCTCCACACCAGCTTTATTAAAGGTAAACGACCTACGTTTAAAAAATGGAGATCACGTTAAAACTATATCCACATATCCACTCATCTAGGTATTCGTATTCCCTTCCAATCATTCACCTTTTTAGAAAATATATTTTTATTGAGTTCAGAGAGGAAGGGAGAGGGAGAGAAACATCAGTCATGAGAGAGCATCACTGATTGGCTGCCTCCTGCACACTCCACCCTGGGGACGGAGCCCACACCGGGCATGTACTCTGACCGGAATCGAATCGTGACCTCTTGGTTCATAGGTCGATGCTCAACCCCTGAGCCACACCGGCCGGGCTCAACGATGTCTAATAACCAACATCAAGGCAGATAACTGTTCACAACCACAAATGTCAAACCGGCCCCATCACACGTTCTATTAACTGGCCCACATCTGCGAGGCCGTTTCCAGACCGATGTCCATTCCTCTCTGGGTAGGAACAGGAACCCTCAGCTCCCTCATCCCCATCCTGGTCGTCACGGGCGCTCGGGCTGTGTGACCGGCAGCCAGTATTCCTGCCGGACCTGCGCTAAGTTGCCCAATCGGAGGCGGTGCTGTTTGTAGCCAACATCGCAGGGCGGCAGCTTTTATTCTTATTCTCATTGTAGTGACGTCCCCGAATTCCCAGGGGCCGCATGGAGGCCAGGCTCCGTGTGCATCGCCAGGTCAGCCTGCACTTAGGCGGTAACACCTGATGACACAGCAAACCTCCCACCAGAGTCAAGCCAACCACTCGGAGGCAGGGGGACACGCAGGGGCCCGAGGCTG